CACCTCTTTTGCATAAATTAGGTCAAACACCTTACGTAAAGATACCCACTCCCCCCCTTTTCTTCATACTTTTCAACCCATTTTCCCCCAAAATTAATAAAATTATCTAAATTTTGTCATAATTAATCATTATCAGTCCCACATTATACAAAAATGGTGGTATAGTTGCTTAACGTGAGTTTTGACCTTTGACCTGATAGGACACAGACTACCAATTATTTTGCTATATATCCCTTTATAACATAAAAATTAATCTAAAAAAATTCAACAGCTCAACTCACCTGAAATTCGGCACAGAGCTAGAACCATTCAAGTCCAAAAAATATATATTTCCAAATCTCAGAAAAATTCATCGCACCCAAGTCTTTCTGTGGCACGATAAGTAACCCCTACCCTGCATATTTTCATTCCCTTTGAGAAACAGGTAAACAATGACCTCTTCGCCCCCTTCATACTACGCACCTAATAGCAAAATTCACATTATTCTAAATTTTATATATTTTTTCAGACCCTCTCCTTTCCATCTATGCCCTAAAATAACCCCATTTTACCCTTTTTATATCCCCAAGAATTTTAAAGAAAAAGACCTCTATTTTTAAAATGGTACTACATGCGATGTCAATGAAATAGGGGTAAAATTAGTAGCCTGTAACCTATAAATTTACACTATATATACGTGGTCACAAATTTTCCATGGAAATTTAAGCATACTTAACATAGATGCAAGGCATATAGTGACAGTCTTAAAAATCCACGTAATTTTCAATCCACTGATTAAATGGAAATTGAGATTCCGCTGAATTATGAACCCATGGAAAAAAAGTATGTCTACAGTAACTATAGTAATATTAACTGTGATAAACAGATAAAATACCATTCTGTGGTTTTGGTATGGTAGCAGTTTTACATTGGGGTCCTTTCATGGCTTTGATTTTCTCCACCATGGTGGTATCAGGGCTGGGGCTTCCCTCGTTCTCACTGTCAGTGTGGGGGTGGGATGGCAGGTGACAGAAACTCTCCCTGATCTCTCTGGTCATTCGCTCCATCAGCCGCCTCCTTGTGTTGCTGTCCCTTCGGCAAAAGCAAAAGGCCTCGTCCGAAGTTTGCTCTGTTTCTTGTGTTCTAAAAATATACCCCAGTCAGCATACATACAGATATCAAATTGCAAATTCTGCTGTTATTTGAATTTCAGATAAATGAAAATAAAACATTGGAGAGAAGGGAGGGGCATTATAAAAAAGACCTCACTTTTTTTTGAATATGAATGACAGGATACATTCCACCAGACACATCATCCATGTAGGAATTGAGGCGGTGCCCATTATACGTGAAGTAGACCGTCTCCCTGGGGGTCTGTCCCTGTATGGGGGACTCTCCTGTCCCTCTCCCACCCTATACCTGCTACGTCCCCAGCATTCAGGGTGATGTCTAAACTGAACACTCCTCCACTGAAGTAGACCCTCCCCCTGGGGTCTGTCCTTGTGTGGGGGACTCTCCTGTCCTCTCCCAACCTATACCCGCTACGTAGCCAAGATTCAGGGTGATGTCTAGTCTAACACTCCTCCACTGCAGTAGACTGGCCCTACTGTAGTGGACAGCCTTACCATTGCTACACAAGATTTATTGCTGATCACATTTTTTTTTGTCTTGAGAACAAAATAACCAATGATACAGAGAAAATTTCTCCCTTGAATTAAAGACTACATGTTATGCAGATGTAAAACTATAGAAAAACTCAAATTATATTGAAGGACTTACTTTAGGAAGAGGCATGTTCCTACAGGGTTAGTCCAGGCTCCATCTTTCTTGTCAGCCGACGGAGCGAAGCCAAACGAGATGACTGCACCACTCTCCTCCTGACTGTCTCCAAACGATCAGATCTCCAGCTCCCAGTAAAACGCTGGAGCCTGTATTAAAAGTAAAGAAATGGGTCAACTGTTTCTCTCTCAATATTTTTTGTTCAGTTTTGAATTAATGGGTTTCATGTAAGGAATATAGGTGAATTCTAACTTATGCTAAATATTAAAAGAATAAAGATTAAATTCTTTATTTTCAAGGCATTTATGCAATAGAAATTAGCTTTTACGGTATTTCCTCTAGAGGAAATATTTTTAAATTCAATATAACGGCATTCAGTGAGTTGTAATATAGAGGCATGTACATGAATATAAAGAATATTTTTCCTGGTATTGCTCTACCTGTTGTGGAACTGGTTGGTTGGCGTAGATCATGGTGCCCCTGGGTAGTCCAGTTCCTGTGCTGGGGTCACCAAGGAAGGTCACTCCAGTACGTCATGTCCTGAGAGAATACCGAGGCCCGAACCGGGGGAGGGATCAATTGGCGTCCAGCAACATCTCCTGATTCTGAACAAAACACAGTTTACAATTTTTAACTTGACAAAGTGTATACTATATTTAATAAAGACTCATTTTTCAGATTCATAAACATTGTACCTCACTTATTTAATGATGCTGCGTTTGAGTTTAAGATTGAGCTCTTTGTAAACAAAGCTTTACTTTAATTTTGCTTACTCCAGAAGTTTTTCATTTTTAATCATTTCAACTTACTCACAGCCCGACTGTCAAGCTTGCAGGATGGAGCTGGAGGTTTAGCACAATCCTTGTGTAGTAGCCTAAGTCTGTTGCAGTGGCTTCCACAACAGTCTACCTCCTGTAATATAAAAATACAATTTCTTATCAACATGTAGTTTAGTACATGTAAAATGTCTCAGCTAATCATTTGTTAATAAAAATTTAGTGAAAAAAAATGAGTAACAAAATTTGACAAACCTTAATTATAATCCTTTGCCAGGGACTTCAGAATATCAATAGCGGATCCACAATGCTGAATGAACTCCTTAGCGAACTCGATGTCCTGTAGATACTGAGCGAGCACCATACAGGCTTGGGTCTGTAGCTCGGCCACCGCACGACTCACCTGATTACTGAGTCTGTTACCATCCCCTGTCACAGGCAAAGTCTGTTGGAGGGGGCAAGTCCCCGTCCTGGGGGAGCAGAATGGCTTTGATGGCCATCACCAGGGACTCCCTCACTGCAGGCACACTGGCAGACTTGTAGATCTGGATTAAAATTTTAAAAAAAGGCCTGTTTAATTAATGTTTAATTTAGCTTTATAATGTATTCAAATCGTCCAGTTTCTCTCTCTCTTCTTACATTGTATACAAGTAAATCTCTATACAATAATGCTATTAATATGTTTATTGGCAAATTAGAAAAAACTCCTTTTTTAATACAGATTTGAAAGAATGTGGATATCCCTTTAAATTTAAAGATTTGGGTAATTTTATTTTTTTATTTTAATAGCTCATTTCCACCCTGAATACAAAATCATGTTCATGACACTTTTCAACTGCAAAATTTTTGTGTTCCTCATTTTTACCTCATTCCTGACAGGGATGAGCCTGGTTAGCGGAACCTGAATTGTGTCACTCAAGCGTGAATGTCTGTCCTCCTCTGTCTCCGGATCTAACTGAACCGCGACCATCCCTGAACCACAATTATCATCTATACCTGGTCCTAGCATCTATGTCAAATAACAAGAGAAATACAGTCTAGAATACAGTCATTTAGGGTATTCCGAATCACCGTTTACATTTTGACTGCAGATGTTTTTATTAAAAACTTTTCACATGGTTGTTTGGTATCAAAGGAAAGCCAATTTAGTGAAAAATCAGATCTACTTTACAGAACGAGTCTATCTTCAATACAGCTGGACCTTGACGGGGGTTATATTTGGATCACCTTTTTAGTGTATTGCGAATCACTTCCGGGTATTTCGAATGACCAGGTAAATGGGTTGAAAACGGTCAGATAACATCATCATAATTGATGAACTAGTTAGTATTGTTTATAAAAAGCTCCAAGAATAAAAAGAATTAAAATTTTCTTGATTGTTCTTGTTTATTTGAAAGTTATCAGCACCCCCCTCTTTATTCGCGCTAAGAACAGCTTTTCAGAGGCGGATCATGCAGAAAAGCAATTATTACCAAGAAAATAGGGGTTTCAGAAATAACATGACTGTAAATTGTTGTCCTGTTAATATAATTATGTCACTTTTTTGCACCTGGGATATTTTTTTCGCTACATAACAATTAACATTGAAAATATCATAATTCTAAGAATCGGCTACGAAAAAAAAAATCATACATGTATAATGATAATGGTGATAAAAAATGTATGAAAAGGAATAATAACTAGCTCCTGTTTAGATATATGTATCACAATTATTAAATATGACATAAATCACTGCATATGTGCACAGTGTACATATATGTATGTGTACATGTACATGCGTGCAAGTCCATATTTAAAAATTTACGACAAAAGGATAACCACTGGTCAAGCTACTCATTAACTCTTCACAGCTTTTCCATTTCATAATTTTCATAGGTCCCTTGCATGTAAAGAAAACCGATGTTTTCGAAATATCGGGCATATAACAAGTATGCAGCCTGCAATTTCTTCAGTTGCGGTTATGCACATACGTGATTCGAAATACCCCAAATGATAGGGGGCTACAAATGCGGTTGTAACATACAAATTTTTGAGATGTAATAAAAAATTATTAATGCTCATAATTGATAAAAGCTCATAAAATTGCCGTTCTATCAATACCTAATATGCTTAGATGAGGTTTCAAACACCACCAACGCAACGACATCGATGAGAAATATTCTGCAACGTTTATACACGGAAATTTTCTTCGAGAAGGAAAGCAAGTTAACGAATGAATTAATTATTTTTTTAATTAACGCATTAAGTTTACCTCTTTATTTATTGTATGTATTAAGCATGAACCATGTTGTTAATGACTATTTAGTTGTCACACGTGTGCATGTCTCGTATAAGATACAGCGATAAGGTAAATTACCGAGTATCGCGAAATGCGGCTTATTCGGAATACCCTAAATGACTGTAATTCGCAGAAAAATTACATATGTACATGAATTTACATACAACAAAAGATATTTATAAAACACTTATGCCCCCCTTCCCAAATTAGAATTTTTCCAAGTGAAGTCCAACATCTGCAAAGAACTTAACCTAGATATACATGTGATAAATCTGTATTATTTAGTAAACATGGTTAAACTCATTTCAGGAAGTTTTCAAAATTTGACTTTTGTGGGGGCAAATATATGCAATGTACAGCATATAGTTCTTTGTCAAAATCTAACACAATCATTTTAGAAATCAAATAACAAGTACTAAGTATTAAAGGATGAGATGCACAATCTAAAATATATACAAATATTGAATGTACTTTAGAAGAACAAGATATCTGCGCCGAGATACTGGCTGTCCCAAAGACGCAAACAGACTGATTATTGGCCAGTTTGACAGTCTGCTTAATTACCATGCTCACTGCACGATTGAAAATTTGATTTGCTGTTAAACTGCTAAAAATTTATATAAAGTAGAAAAAGCCCTTTTGAAATGTATTGGAATTAAAATTACTGATAAACAGAAATCTCCAACAGGGAAAAGGGGCAGTAATTTTGCATCCTAGGTCTTGCTACCAATATACATATTAAAATGAATCTTCTCCCAAAAGTTATTTTCATTTAATTTTTTAACTGTCAAAATAAATTCAAAGGTCAAATTTTTCCCCCAAAACAAGAATTATACAAATTGGTTTAATCCCCAAATGTTTGGGGAAGGAAATTTTTCAAAAGCCACAGACTGTTGTAATGTCTCTTTCGCGAAAGCGGGCGCGGTAATTTCAAAAATTTCCCGAAACGAATGATCATTTTTACAAGGAACCAACTGTGTCCCTTTTGCTTACAGGATCTGGCACCCAAAACCCGACATGGTTTGCCCGGGGTCTCCTTTTATACATGGCTTGGTCCGATGGCTGCCCTTTCCTCTTCCTGGGTCCCTCTAAATTAAAACGTCCTTTTTGATTTAAAATAACAAATTAAAACACAATGGTTTTAAATTTAAAACCTTTTTTATTATTAAAATGCCCTTTCCACCACACTGACGGCAGTCTGTCACTGCAGTGCAATCTACAACATAATGGTAAAACAAGGCCTTAAAATTATAAATATTGTTGGGTTCCTGAACATTGTTGCACTGTAATGCCGGGCAGATTCATATATACATACGAAAGCCCCCCAAATTTTGGATGAAGTCTATTTAAAAAAAGATTAAATGCAATAAAAATATTCGGAAAAAAAGGGCATAATTTTTTAAAAACGCCTTTTGCATAATATAAGGCGTTATTTTGCGGGCCCTTTTCAAAAGGCGTTATAACGCCTTTCCAAAAGGGGATAAAATTTCCCTTTCCAAAAGGCATTATAACGCCTTTTTAAAGGAAGGGGTTATAACGCCTTTTTCAAAAAGGCATAATAACGCCGTTTCCAAAAGGCGTTATTACGCTTTCCGCGTAATTACGCGTTTCCAAAAGGCGTTATTAAAGCGTTTTTTTAATGGCTTTTAAATTTCCCTTTTAAAACTTTCGACGCCTTTTTTTTAAATAACATTTCTTAAACATATTAAAACCCAAAGAGGGGGGGGGGCTTGCTTGTATTCTTTCTCCTTTTTGGACATCAATTTTTTTACAATTAAATATTTAAAATAATTTTGATTCTCAAAACCAAATTCAGTAGAAAATTACTGCTCCATTCAACTTTCATTGTCTTTTTTGGGAAAACATGTCTTTTTTAATGACACTTCTGAAGACTAAACAGAAAAAAGAATGTACATTTTTTCATTCTTTCTACAGAATTTTTTTTATCACTGAACTCCAAGGTTCAAGGGGAAAATTGATTTAAAATTTTTGGTAAACCAATAAAAATTTTTTAAAAAATTCAATTGAATATTTTTAAAACCCTAGTCTTAAACCCTTTCCAAAAACTACATTTGGGAAGGTTAAAGTTTGCTACATATAAGTACAAAAAATCTCCAATTTTTTAAGGTCAAGGTCAAAAAGTCAAGGTTGTTGGTATCAAATGAAAGGTCTTGCCACAAGGAATAAATATGTGAAATATGAAAGTCCTGGTATCTACTGTTCAAAAGCTGTGGCCAAGGTAAACGTTTTTGAATAGTAGGTCAAACTCCAAGGTCAAGGTGCAAGGGACAAAGTTCTTGGTATTCGATGAAAGGTCTTCTCACAAGAATTATATATATGAAGTATGAAAGCCCAGCCCTTACCATTCAAAAGTATTGGTCAAGGTTAAAGTTTTCTGATAAGTACAGAAATCTCCAAGGTCAAGGTAAAAAGGTCAAAATTGTTGGTATCCAATAAAAGGTCTTGCTACCAAGTA